AAAAAAAGAGAGAGAGAGAGAGAGAGAGGAGGTGAGGGAATAAAAAAGAACGTTGTGTCACGTGTTCTTGTTCTCAGTACCAATCGCAGCTTTGCTCAAGATTGGCGCCGGTTGAATGCGCCATCTTCCGCGTAATTCTTGCAGATCCTCGTGGAAGTGTTTCTCGTACGGAATGCACGTCAAATCTGCACAACGCAGTCCGGCTCGGATACCCCATGGAATATAAACCTCCCTCAGAACTCGGCGCTGGCTTGCGGGTCGGGTTATCGATGCGAACAGCGCGAGTGCACACATTGGAAGTCCCGTCTGAACGAACTCTACAACCTTGAGCGCAATCTCCCCCGGCACACTCGTAGGAAGTCCGAACAACACGTGCCAGAAATCGTGCACCTCGCGGACTCGCGTTGCCACGTACGCAAGCTCATCATCGTCGACAAATCGGACCGGCGGCCGATCGTCCGCGACAAATTTTCTCGAGTCCATGAACCGCGCGTAAGCGTGACCGAACGTATTTGAGGGTAGGTTCCATGCATGTGACGTCGTTGCGGACGTGACTCTCGGCCGGTCTTTCAGAAGAAGCTGCGTCCGCCAAACAAATCAGTTGAGAAAAAAACAACCACAAAAAAAAACATAAAAAATTCATGAGGTCACAAATCCATTGCAATTATTGTCTACATACAATGTCTAGTTATTCCGTTAAAGCCTCGGCTAGTAACCAGACTGGCCTAGGACCACTTGCCCGGCCGGGCCTTTTTTTCTTTTTTTAAATTGAGAATTAAAAAAAATTATTTATTTAAATTATTTTTATTTTCCATTTTAAATTTGCTAAAGAATTCCGACGTGACCCCGTTGCTCCAGACGAACTTCCAAAGCGGATCCGCGATGTGAAATATGCCCAGGCTCAAGAGTTGAAGATCTGCATCACTTCGTCCTTCTTTGTGAGCTGTCCCACCCAGCCTTTTTGGGCCTGGTGGATAGGGGGCTCAGTGCCGGTCTCGGAAACTGATCCCCCTCAGTGCCAGTGCATACTGATCAGTCTCAGTACACTCGCTGGACTGATCAGTATGTACTATGTACTATTTAATATTTATGCATGTCATCCTTGCGCAGGGGCCATGCTAATCTTCTCTGTATCGTTCCAATTTTAACGGATGTCCCAAAGGACGATCAGTATGCACTATGTACTGATGTGGACAGTCTCTCGAAGATCTCAGCAGGCTGAACGATTCCAGTTATGCGGAAGAGACAATCAGAGGAGCCATACTTGGACTCTCTTGACATTGAGAAACTCTGCGGTGCGGTGAGAAGAGGGGAGCGTCTGCTGACTCCACTCATGGCCAGAGCGGAGCTTAGGTGTGGAATAAAACAAGCGATCTTCACAGACTGGGAATATAAAGTTAAAAAAAAAAAGGGTACTCTGCGAAACCTCTCAAACTTTTTGCAAGTTAAGTTTGGAATATAAAACAAGCGATCTTAACAGACTGGGAATATAAAGTTAAAAAAAAAAAAAAAGGATACTGCGCGAAATCTCTCAAACTTTTTGCAAGTAGATGGGGGGGGGGCATTCACTCGACGCCGCCAGAACTGAGATTTTCAGCATTCTTTCTATGAGTAGCTGAGTAACTGATCTGCATCCGATTTTTTTTTTTTTTTTTTTTTATTTTTTTTTTTTTTTTTTTTTTTTTTTTTTGGGGGGGGGGGGGGGGGGGGGGGGGGGGGGGGGGCGGCGGAGGGGAAGTGCCGATGGGTATTTTTGTAGAAACGTTGTTTAACTAAGAATCCTAAGATGATTACACATATGACAGAGAGGTAACGAGTGCTTGAAGGAGTAAGAACACAGTGTAGATAGACGAGATGTCTGCCTTCGAAGCAGGGGATATGGGTTCCATTCCCGTTATCCGCAATTGCGATTTGATGAAAAAAAAACTGAGATGTTTCTTTATGACGGACTGCAAGCCAGCAATGTGACGTCAGGACTGATCCTTAGAGAGCCGACAAAGACAAGTTAAATTTCTTAAATTTCTTGAATTTTCTGCTACGGTGGGGTTAAGCCTGGCCGGAGTGCCTGGCTCATCCCCGTGGGGCGTGGCTATTGATGTGAGGGACGCTGGGCCCGTTTCCCAGCTTGTAATCGAAAAAGCTCCCCCTTTTTTTGTTTAAAAAAAAAAAAAAAAGTTGTTCGGTTTGCTGTTCTGCATGATATAGTTTTTTTCCCCCTTTTTTTTTTTTTCTTTTGCTCGGACCTCCCCTGGTCCTTGCACGGCCAGGCCGCCCAGAAAAACAGGGCGACCCAGGCTGCCCGGCTGGTAGCCGCCTAGGTTAACGCACCAGCACTTGGCCCAGCTATAGGCCGCAGCGCTTCCCCGTTAACGCGCCACGCCTTCAGGGCTTCGGGGTACCAGACCACAATGGCTGGAAGCGCCAGCCAAACACAATTTTGAAACGGTACCCCGGTGCTTCAGCAAAAATCGGCGCGCAGGGACATTCCAGGCTCGGCATCGATAGCTGGGCCAAGTACTGGTGGTTTAAAGCACTACGAATCAAATTGGCGCGCAGGGGCATTCCAGGCTCGGCATTGATAGCTGGGCCAAGTACTGGTGGATTAAAGCACTACGAATCTACACTACCAACCGGGCCGTCTGGGTCACCTTGGTTGCCCGAGTGGGCCCGGCCGGGCAAGGGCCGAGGAGGTCCCGGCATTAAAAAAAAAACGTCCGCAAAATCCGAAGAAAAACTGTGTTGTGCAGAAAAATAAATTTAACATCTTTTTTTCTCAGGGTCACATCACATTGCTTTACCGAATGAAAAAAAAAAAAAAAACATTATTTTTTTTTTTTTTTTCATTTAGTTTTTGGCCCGGCCAGGCAAGTGGTCCCACTCCCCACTCTGGAGCAAGGTCCCACTCGAAACGGGATAGGATAGAAACGAGTTTGTGGGGCAGTTGAGTGTGAACCAAATCCTGGCGTGCAGTGCTTGTGAGTGATCCCACGGTCAGTATTTATAATATTAAATATTATGTATTACCCAAAAAAGTAAGGAGATCTTTGTTCCCCTCCTCCTCTCCTTAACACTGGGCATGCCTGTGCAAAGAAAGCTTCCCGCCAGAATCTTTTCAATCGGTTGGGGGTGTGGCCAACCCCAAAAGAGGGTGGAGTCGGCCATAGACCCACTGGATAGAAGATTTTCAGTATAATTTTACTTGCTGTTGTGCAATTATCTCATTGGGTGGGTGGAGCCCTCCTTCCATCACCGTGTATATGGAGGGTGTCAGGATCGCTGCTGACAAACGTCGAGTTTATTCCAGAAAAATGTGGCGGTTACTTTGTTCATTGTTGTTGCAACCACCACCATCAGATCATTTGTGATCTGATGGCTGGGAAGCACTCTGCCGTGATTTCCGGTGGCAGGTCTCTGTTTT